TGTTCTTTTAAGTGAGCCTTGTATGCAGTGTCCATTACATTGATCACATTTGAATTTTCCACAAAAATGTTTTTCATGTGCTTGTATAACTAATCCTTTCATGTAAAGTTATTTTTGCAGGCTTCACATTTGAATAGCTTCTTGCTCAAATGGCTTTGCATGTGTTCATTAAAAGTGTTCTTATGGGAGAAGTATCTTTTACAAACACTGCATAAATGGATGAATTCTCATGTGAACATTTAAAGTACATTTATGTACGAAGCTTTTTTCGCAGATTTTGCATTTAAACTGTTTCTCACTAGAATGGACGTCCATGTGTACTTTTAAATTGGAATTGGTGCTAAAGCAAGATTTGCAGATAATACACTTGAAAGGCTTTTCATCTAAATGGGCTAGCATGTGTTGATTCAAGGTGGCCCTATGGGTGAAGTGTGTTTCACAGATACTGCATTTAAATGGTTTCTCACCAGTATGGACTCTCATATGAACAGTTAAAGTAGTCTTGTGTGTAAAGCTCTTTTCGCAGATATTGCATTTATATTGCTTCTGACCCGAATGGGTTTTCATGTGTTGTTTCAAGCTGCTCCTATGGGTGAAGCATCTTTTACAGGTACTGCATTTAAATGGTTTCTCACCAGTATGAACTCTCATGTGAGAAATTAAAGGAGTCTTATTTGGGAAGCTCTTTTCACAGGTTTTGCATTTAAATTGCTTCTGATCCGAATGGATTTTCATGTGTACTTTTAAAGTGTTATTAGAGTTAAAGCAAGATTTGCAGATACTACATTTAAAAGGCTTTTCATCCAAATGGCTTAGCATGTGTTGATTCAAAATACTCTTACAGGAGAAGCAATTTTCACATATACCACATTTGAAAGGCTTTATGTCGAGATGGATTTGCATGTGACCACTAAAAGCGACCTTATCGGAGAAGAAACTTTCGCAGATACCACATTTGAACGGTTTTCCACCAAAATGGGATCCTACGTGAATATTTAAACTATACTTATATGCAAAGCGTTTTTCACAGATTTTGCATTTAAACGGCTTCATGATCAAATAGGTATATCATTTTGTTCCATTCTGTAGTCGTGTATATCTATTATCTATGGTAGTCGTGTAAATCTGGCATGCGATATAAATAATCCGCTGATTCACACTTTACCAATGAAGTGTGCGTCATTTGCGGGTTCTAAATATGTAAGTAGCATAATTGTGCGCCCATTGGTTTTGTAAAAAAAAGAAAATTAGAGTGCCGGTGGAAATTCAATGTCAATTTACTCAAAAACTATTGATGATTATCTATGATCATAACTATAGAAACTAACATAATTAAATTGACACCAATCGATTACGACTGAGCTATTATGGTAACGAAATTTATTTTTTATATTATTTATTACAAATAACGAATTATATTTCATTTGTATAACTAATAGGTATTCGCCGAATAAAACATTACATACACTTGTCTATGACATTCACGTCACATCATAACATCGACTATTTTTCTATGGACAATATCTGAAAAATTCATTACAGCTAAATTTCCGGACGACCTAACTTTTCCGACCTCTATTAAATGTTTATTCATGAAAGTCGAAAGAAGTTCTGTGGAACAAAGTAAATAAAACACCAAATACATAAGTCCCACTGAGTCCCACATCAAACTATTTTGTTTATTTGTTGCCTGATACCTGTGAGTTTTAGTGTTTGTGAGTGTTTCATATTTAAGTGTTTATTAACAGGCAAAGCCCTAAAGTTGCAGTATAACAATGTGAACACAATAATATTTATAGTACACAGATGAAAACTAATGTAATTAAAAGAATTAAGATGAGCTTGTAGGCAAAAATAGCATCTTTGGATTCACGAACTGAAGCCAGTGATGGAAACCAGAACTTTACTGTTGTAGCATAATAGTCATGGCTGAATCTGTCCATAGGACAACCTGCACTATATGCCAGTATTTTCAGAAATGTATGTTGGACTGATTCAAGCCCATTGGTATTAGCTTTCAAATATGGGGACCACACAATGGTTGCATAATTTAGAATTGGTAAGATAAAGGGCTCGATATAAATAAATAAAGGTCTTATGATCCTTAAAATTAGCCGTGTTTCTGCAAATAAAGCCAATGATTGTATAGGCTAAATAAATATCTTTAGAACTACTGGAGAATTACCTGAAAAGGTCAACCAGTGAGTTGACAAAAGTTTGTATTTAATTTTAATAAATCTATTAAAAACATCATATTACAGTCTGTTAACTGTTGTATACCCACATCACCACAAAGGAATCTGTTCATCTGTACATTACTTGTATCCCTTTATTCACTGGAAGCAGAAACAATAAGGGTAAGTAACAAACTTAATTTATAAGAAAAAATGAAAAGGCTTGGTAAAGTAATTATTTTAATCAATGATTACTAATTTTATTTCGAAATGTTTCGTCTTTCATTGCAACAGGATTTATTTATTAAAAAAGGAGAACAATTCCTAATCCATCTTTGAGGTAATTCATTGACACCTTTTATATTTATGTACACATTGAAATAAATTAAATTAAGGGTCAGTATCAAAAGTATATTTGTGTGCTGTTAAATTTTAAGTTTGGCTTCTTTCTTGTCCTGCTAAGATGGTTTAATAATTTTGGTGTTCATTAAGAAACGTTTCAGAGAATAGAATAGCTTGTATATCAATTCTGGATACAGATAAGTATTTTAGGGGATTTATTATTAAGTACTACCTTTTGCAATAAAAGGCAGAACGTGAATAACTGATAATTTCAGAGGTAACGCCCTTTTTCGGTTAAAAAGCAAATATTTTTTCGAAATTTTTCTAGTTCATTCTATCATCGATTTAAAAAATATAAATAGAATTTTTCGTTTTTATAGGGACGAAAACTGGTTTTAAATGGTAAAATTTTTGAGATATTATCAGTATGCAATCGACTGACACTGGTGCTTGTATGGTTGCATATGAGATTTTTCTTCTACATAATTTACCTTGGTTTTTTCTAATTTTCCTGTGCAAAAGTGCCTCAATTCACGACTGTTCAGTACTATCACTGTTTACATTTAGTAATAAAATTTTCGTCGAATTTTTTAAATAATGTTGCTTTTCGATGCCTTTTTAATTAATGATTGTTAGTGAGTAATTTATGAGACCTTTAAAAATTTGATAACAATAAACACACATTTGAATCTTTTAGGAATAGAATTTATTAGAATTCAGTTTACTAAATTCTAGTCCTGGAGCATTTAATAAGGGTGCGTGAAATAATTAAAATTGGAAGGATAAAAACATTTTTTGAATTATGAAATAGTAAACACGTAAATTTTTATTGTTCAAATAATCTTGTTACCAGTTACACTTATGTATGTGATTATTAAGTTAAAATACAGTAATGTACCGTTATCGTTGTCGTGATAATTAATTATAATGGATGTATGTATTTAAATTTTTTGCTGCTTTTGACATTTTGTGTGAATTTTTGATAGAAAGATTGGAAAACGTACTAGTACATACACAATTTCTATTACAATAGATTCTGGAATTACGGTTTTATTTGTTGTATGTTTGTTTGTTTGTTTATTATTGGGTATCGGATTATTTTTACGATTCCCATTATGTCACTAATTGCAAGTAAATGTACTTTACTCCGTCATACTAATTAATCTAGGAAAAGCATAGAAACTTGTTTATGAATATCGCTTGATTTAGTGAAAAATAATAAGTATCAGTTAGGTACAAACAAATTGATTTTGTAAAATAATTCAGTTGTATCAGGTACATATTTTGGTAACAAAATTACCGTTTTTATTAATCTTTTTTGTTCTACAAAACGATTATTTTTGGCTTTCATTTATTCTTTTCTTTTTACAGATACACTTCAGAGTATATATTTTTCCGGCTTTCTCCAAACGAAATTTTCCTTTAGTAGTTCAACCTACAAAAACAGAGTAATTCCTTACTAATCGAAAACCTTAAATGTTCTTGCAGTGGATAGGTAAGTTGGCTAAAAATATTTAAAACAAATACGTAATTGATGTTATTTGTTTCAAACATCCGGATAACTGTTTCGTAAACGGTTCTTTAAAGTTGGAAATAAATTATGTATTGTAATAAATAAATGAATTAAATATGTATATGGAAAGATTATTTAAACGCTATAAAATTAATTAAAATATTTGTTGTTTTTTTTTTACAGGCTTTAGAATACTAAGGAACATGTCTAAGCCATGATGCAACACCATTACTGTTGTGAAGAGGTTTTTCGAAACGTATTGTGCCTCCTGTACTAATATGAAACTATGGAATACTTTGGGTGAGATTTTAGTTCTTAATAATTTAAAAATCGAACCTTACCTTCAGTTTTCTTGCTATACTTTGATTCAATAATATACATATCACTTTTCGGGCTACTTTAATCCACCAATTATTGCAATCGTACAGAACGAAATTCCGTTACATTGCAGTTATAACTGAATAATCTGTACATCAAACATAAACATTTATTTTTGTTGCAATTATAAAAAGTTTAGTTATTTGTACTCGAGTGGCTCCAATTCAAAAAAAAATTTTAACGACTGGCGTATGTTCAGGATGCTAAAAAAAGATAATTCAGGTCGCGGAAGTCAGAAAATTCTAAAATGTTTAGAAAAATTTATACCTTACTAGTATTACCGAGTAGTTTTTTGGTCACAGAGGCGGTGGGCTTAGATTTTCGTTACGTAGTCAATATCTTTTAAGGAAATTTCGCGCTATATTGAAAACTTTCTGTTTGCAAGAAATGGTTTAAAACCGTATTGATGAGTTACTACGTGGAAACTAATAGGGGAGGGGGGTCTTGGCATATAATACGAATGGTAACCGAGGGGGTAAAAAATTATAAAGAAAATGGGTTGCGTACTATGGGTACGTTCTCTTAATAAATAAAGGAATTCAGAACTGCTACTGCAGCCTAACGCTCAGAATACTTTGCAGTGAATTGGGTTGCCTAAGTCAAGGACGAGCTGTCGCCAACGTTTTAAACGTTTCGTGTATTTGAAAACAAATTACTATGATAGCAATGTTACAGTGCGAGTCGAAACTTTTAACCAACTACATTTTTGGATATTAATAAAATAATTTTATTTTATTTAGTACATAAGCGTATATGAAAATAATTATGATTTTATGACACTTAACACTGTAAATGTAAATGTAAATGATTTTTTTTACTTTGTTTTGTATATTTCTCTAGTATCGGTATTTTTACCTTCTGTCCTGTACATTACAATTTTTTATGCGACTTCTGATAGAGAAAGATGCTTACAGTTAAAAATGCGGACAAAAAAACGTTAGCTTTATTGGGAAAATTGTGATGAAAGCATAAAACTATAATAAAGTAATAATATTCAAGGAGATAGATACTTCTTAATCAAAAATAGAGAATGATTAAGAAGAAAAACAATGTTTCTATTTTTTTAGTTTGCGTAAAGTGTCAATCATAAAAACAAAGCAATGAATTTTTTATTTTCTGTCCAAAGATTGAGAAATTTGTAACAGTTATTTTTGTCGTAGACATCTTAATTTGGCAAATTATTTCAGCAAAAAGCATTGAATTTTTAAAAAATCCGTCTTCAAATTTCATTCCAATTATAAGAAATGAAGTTTAAGTTATAAAACCTAATATCTAATAGTGGATAAAAATATCTGATTTATTTCAAAAGTATGGAGTTATATCATAACCAATTTACTAATTTTCAGTCTTTTTGTTTACCAAAAAAACCACTCGACCGAATGTTATGTAATTCTTTTCGGATCATATTGCCGTTCATACGCTTCGATCGGCGCTCAACGAAGTCGATATCATTTTTTATTCTCGCGATATCTATCAGAAGAAAGTGACTACGCACGCATACATACACACACACAGACACACGTATACTCCTTCGCCAAATTATGTTGCGATGCTATGCTCACTTTCAAATTTCAAAATATGTTGGAAACCGTGATTTTTATGAATAACTTCCCTATATACTGGGAAGTTAATAAATTTATTTATCCTGTGGTTTGATATTAAGTATCGCATATTCTACATCAAGGTCATTAATAATTCCTACACAGGAAAATTAAACCGCAGAAACTGTTTATTAATATACTAAAAAAACTTTGAGTACATTTTTTTATGAATAACAATACGGTACTTCTATAATTTAGTTTTTTAATTCGATTCGTTTAATGTTTAAAAATTCAATTTATTGTCCATTTAGTGGAATTTTATTATAGCACAAGAATGCGATAAACCCACAAGTCAACATTATCGTGAAATTATGTATGTATGGATGTTATATTTTTTAAATATTTTTGTATAATAATTTACAATTAGTATATTTTTGTTTTGTTGGTAGTGTTCTTTTTTTAACTTCCCAGTATATAGGAGTGCGTGTGCGTTTGTCTGTATGTGTACACGTACATACGTAGGTAATAATTTTTTTCCAAGGTCCAGTCCCACCCCACGGCTTGTTTAACCGTCTATTTCCTTCTTCAAAGTATAACATTTTTGTCATCATGTGTAGTTTAGCATCCCTAAACCAGATATATTGACCATAACCAATAGGTAGAGTTTATTTAACTAAGAAACCTTCTGATTTGATTACGTATAGATTAAAATATGCTAATTTGCTAGAAATGATTAAATTGTAACCACAGTAAAATACGTTATTTTATGTATTTATGAATGAATCAGGTTACGGTTAAGCCCTGATAATACATAAAAGATATAAAAATAAACAAACAGTTTAATCAAACATCCAAACTTGATATTATTGTTTATTGTATATTGTAAT